CCACTAAGCTTGATGATTTGGTTGGGATCTGTCATTGACTACGTTTGTGAATGGTGTCAAAAGTTGTGGAGGAGATAATGGACAGGGCCAATCCAGTATCTAACTCCATGGAGCATGGGACCCCTTGAAGTTTTAGTTGGAGTCTTATCTTTTCTTTGATGAGGCGTTGGGCCCTATGCATTGGATGCTACGCCTTCCCGAACAGTATTCAATTCTGTTCTGTCCCAGGAGCCTGTTCCCATTGTGCTGCTGTGTCGCAGGTTTCGTTTCCCTCTAATGACCTCTACAAACTCTAGATATGTGCCCTTGTTTTCCACAGCATGGCATACTGCTGTGTAGAATCTGCATTCTGCTCTTTCATGCTGTCCCCCGCAGCTTGCGCAGCTCTGTGGGGGAGTTGCTTGCTCTGTGGAGAGTAGCCTTCTGGGTGGCTCTCTCTGCAAGCGATCAATTTCTCCAATCTCACTGAACTTTTCCAAGCCTTCTGCAGTCTCTTGGTGGATCGCTGGGGGTCTGGTGTGCATTTTTTGTGCCGGAGAATCTTCATGGTCCCTTCGGCAGCTTCATCCACCATTATTTCCTTCAATGCACCTTGGAAAGTCAGTTTCTCCATAGTGAATAGGCGCTGCTGTAATTCATTATTATGCAGGCTGCAAACGAGCTTGTCTCTGAGATGCTCTTCCAGATCAGGGAACACACATTGATGCGAAGCTTGGCAAAGGGCTGCCACAAACTCTGCTGCAGATTCCCCAGATCTCTGTTCATGTTGCTTGAATGCCTGGTGCCGGGCGATGACCGAGAGTTGAGGCTCAAAATGTTCACTTAATTTTTTCTTGATGTCTGCATAGGCCACTGTCTTTATGCTTGCCGGTGCTGTCAAATTTTCAGCGATATCAAACGTAGCTTGTCCACAGACACACAGTAAGGTTGTCATCTGTGACCTGGTTAGCCCTGAGATAGTTGTCTACTTGGGAGATGTATGAGCTCCACTGTTCCGGGTGAGTAAAATCGAACTCGTTGAGTCTTCCCAGTTTAGCCATTTTGAGAAGGCCCCGTGACGCTGGTTAATGCCTGCATTACTGAGGTTGGAGCTGAGGAGTCCTGGGGATGGATCCCTCAGGTATGTCTGTGCCTCCTGTCTTACTGGCAGGCAGGGTGGGGAGCATGGTCCCACCAGGGCTCTTTACCCGGTCTGACACCCAGTGATTTCAATCTCTTGGTTAGCAGCAGCTCTCTCCTCTGCAGCATCCCACCTTCATCGCCACTATTATGTTGTGGGCTGCGGTAGGCAAGAACAGACAGCATAGATACAACAGCATTTATTGACTCAACTGGAACTACTGAACAACAGACAAATTCCTATAATTTATACTCTGGGCCTACAAGGCCTCAGCCAATCATAATACTTGAAAAAGCCCACCCAAATATGAATGTTCTAAATTTCCCTCCAAAACAGTTGAAGTTAACAGTTAGGGTCATCTAAAGGTTAGTTTCACTTTAGCAGGGCTTAACACAACTATATGTATTCAATACACAATAAGCCTGATACAGGATTTGTAGACATCAATCTAGCTCAGGGATGTCAAACTCAATTTCATAGATGGCCACATCAGAGTTCTGTTCGACCTTGGGGGGCCGGGGTGGGTGTGGCCAGCTCGACATGACTCATGTCGCGAGCACCTGTGGTGGCCTGAGCATTCTGCCCTCCGTTTCCAGCTGCGACTTCCTCCTGCAACCCTCTGCCAGAGAAAACAGAGCTTGGGTGGGCCGCACGTGGCCCGCCTGAGTTCCATTTTCACTGGTAGAGTCACCACAGGCCGGTTCCTGCTGTTTGTAGGGTGGCCCCCGCAGGCCAGATCTGGCCCGCAGGTCTTGAGTTTGATACCCCCGATCTAGCTTCTCCATAATCTCCCTAAAGCAAGCTGTATTCTTCAAAGCATGTGTCTTTAATAAATGTGTTATTTGGGAAAGGTGCTACCAGATTCTGATTTTGTTTGTTGCACACACACATATTTCCTTGTTTTAGCCATTGAATTTCTAGGCTGTAAACAATCCAAGTCAAAAGGATACAATGGCTAACCCAGATCCAAAGGATACAACGGAGGCTAAGGAGGTGGAAAAGGGAGGTTCTAGACTTGTCTACCCCAACCTTTTACCCTCCAGAGGGAAAGCCGATTATGGCAATTTCACTCTACAGCATGTAGAGAACTATAGGTGCTGCAATCCAAGGCATTGTGGCAGGCACATGGTAGGGAAGTGATCCTGGCTAATCAACAGTAAAGAGGGTGACCACCTTTCTCCTACTGACCTTGAAACATTAAGAGCTCCTTGAGTTCTTATTTGTCTCTGAAATCCATATCTGAAATTCCAAGGATACAGGTCTTAAAGTTGCAAAGTTTGGACTAGAAATTTCATTACAACAGAAGAAGCCCCATTTTTCAAGAGAAGTTGAAAGAACTTCTATGAAAGTTTAAGGCCTAAAAAGCAAAATGTTTGGAAAAGAGCAAAAGAATGTTGATTTTGGAAAGTTAATGGGGTAGATTGACATGAAAAAAAAACATTTCCTGGGGGTTGTTTAAAATTTTATAAAAGACTATATGAAGATTTTGAAATTAATTCTAAAAAATACTCCCCAGGGAGTAGTTTGTTGATTAGAAAATAAACAGACGGCTTGAATGTTGACTAGAGGGAAGCAGAGAGAACTAATAGATATTCTTAAAGTAGACGAGTCCCATTAATATAATGGAACAATACTATTTGACAATAGAAGAAATAAAGGCTGTTTGGGAACAATCTACTCAGAAATTCTTACAAGTTTATTTGATACAGGTAGTCCTCAACTGACGAAGATAGCTGAGCTCAAAATTTCTATTGCTAAGCAAGACAGCTGTTAAATGATTTTTGCCATTTTATGACCTTTCTTGCCACAATTATTAAGTGAATCACTGCAGTTGTTAAGTTAGCAACACGGTTGTTAAGAGAATCTGGCTTCCCCATCGACTTTGCTTGTCAGAAGGTCACAAAAGATAATCACTTGACCCCGGGAAACTGCAATCATCATAAATATGTACAGGTATCCAAATTCTGATCACATGGTTGTAAATAACTTTTTTTCAGTGCCCGTTGTAATTTTGAATGGTCACTAAAGGAATGGTTGTAAGTTAACACAGCTGCCTGCAATTTACTGCTGGTTCGAATCTCTCCAAGGCTCAAGGTTGACTCAGCCTTCCATCCTTTCTAAGGTAGGTGAAATGAGGACCCAGTTTGTGGGGGCAATAAGCTGACTTTGTATAAAATATACAAAAGTATGAAGGCTATTGCTTAACGCATTGTAAGCCGCCCTGGGTCTCTGGAGAAGGGTGGCATATAAATCAAATTAAAAAAAAAAAAAAGTTGAGGATCACCTGAACTATAACAGAGGATATAGAAGCACAATAGATTTTATTGGATAAACAGAGAGTGGCACTGATTCAAATGTGGATTTGGATTTTTAAAAACTACCAGATTATAAAAGTGATGAGGAAAAGGATGCTGTGGATCTAAAAATGGATTTAAATATGCTAAAATATGAGTGATGTGGCAAAAGATGCCAAAATGGATTTACAAATGAAACCATCTGATGAATATAATTAAATGTGATTTGAAAAGTCTTCTTATCAGAGATTTACAAAAGGAACATATTAATGAAGCTGTTCCTGAGGAGACAGAGAAAATATTGAGAAATTAGTTTGCAGGACATTATTTGATAGGGTTTAAGATTAAGAAAAGTAAGCAGGAGGAATTCAAACTGGAATTATTTGATCAGGGTTAATATTTATGTTGTGATTTCTGATAGCTATTAATGAATTTCTTTTTGATTAGAACTGAATGATGAGACTTTAAAGATCTGTTTATAAATGGGGGGAAATTTCTTGTGCTTTTCAAATAAAGTGATAAATTGGAATACAAAACTGTTTTGTTAGACTAAGGTTAACATATAATAGGCTACCATTTCTGGTAAGTCTTAATAGATTTCTTCTGATTAGAAATGAATGATGAATTTTTTAAATAAAAGAACTGTGATGGTGCAGTGGTTAGAATGCAGTATTGCAGGCTAACTCTGCCCACCACCAGAAGTTCAATCCTGATTGGCTCAAGATGGACTCTGCCTTCCATCCTTCCATGGTTGGTAAAATGAGGACCCAGATTGTTGAGGACAATATGTGATATTTGTAAACCACTCAGAGAGTGCTGTAAAGTACTATGGAGTAGTATATATGTCTAGGTGCTGTTGCTATAATGTGATTATTGATAAGGGATGAGATATGGAAAGAAGGTATCTTTTAAAAATTGAAATATTAAAGTGTTAAATTACTGAAGTTGCTTGCCCAGAGGAAATGGGAAGTCATCATTTATATATTTTTGTTTCTTACTTTTTATTTTCTTTTGTTCTATCTCTTCACATTTTTCTTTTCCTCTTGTTTATGTTTCATATCTATCTTTGTTTGCATTAGTCTTTTGTTTGTTATCTGTAAACTCTAATCAAAATTGTTATTTTAAAAAGCCCTTCTTATGTATCCAGCTCATTTGGGTTCTCCTCATTTCTTTCTGATCATACTTCCTTTCCTGGCCTCAAACCATTATGTGAATAGAGTAAATCCTTTGTATGACGCAAGAAGGAAGAGAATTAATCGGGAACATTTTTCCAAGGAAGGTGATTTAGATTTGACTTTCAGGAAACTCGTGGAAGATGGTGGTACAGGGGTATCCACAATGTACGATCAAAAAAACCCACAATGGTGCATCAAAGCTCTGCCTGTTTTTTTTGTGCATCATACCTAGAGAAAGTACAGGGAGTCGTCAATTTACGATTACAATTGAGCCCAAAATTTATGTTGTTATGTGAGACATTTGTTAAGTGAGTTTTACCCCATTTTACAACATTTCTTGCCACAGTTGTTAAGTGAATCACTAAAGTTGTTAAGTTAGTAATCCAGTTGGTAAATGAATCTGGCTTTTCCATTGACTTTTCTTGTCAGGTCGCAAAAGTGGAATCATGTGACCCTGGGACCATCATAAACATGAACCAGCTGCCGAGCATCTGAATTTTGATCGGGTGACCATGGGGATGCTGCAAAGGTTGTAACTGTGGTGAAATGTAAAATTTGTTACTACCAGTTCTGTGGGCGTGGCTTGGTGGGGGAGGTGTAAAATGACTGAATGGGCGTGGCCAACTTTTTTTTTTTTTTTACTTTTAAAACCATTTTTTCTACAACCTCTTCGGCTGAAGAGGTTGTAAAAAAAATGCTTTTAAAGCCTCTGATGATCCCAGCTGACTTGCCTGATCGGCAGAGGCTTTCTTTCCTTTTAAAACCATTTTTTCTACAACCTCTTCGGATGAAGAGGTTGTAGAAAAAATGCTTTTAAAAATAAAACAAAAGCCTCTGATGATGGCGCGGCTCAGTTGGGCAATGGGGGGTGGGTGGGCGGGATTTTTGCTACTGGTTCTCCGAACCACCCGCCTCCATTGCTACCGGATCTGATCCGAACAGGGAGCATTTCACCCCTGGGTTGTAACTGTGAAAATGATCATAAGTCAGTTTATTCAGTGCCGTTATAACTTTGAACGGTCACTAAATGAACTGTTGTAAGTCGAGGGTTACCTCTACTGCATGGATTTCTTTGAAAGAAGGCAGAGCCAAGTCTTACAACAATCCGGCAACTACATTCCTGTTTCTCAAACCTTTCTCCTTAATGGGCAAAGTGTGAGAAATGACAGGGATCACTCAGTGGGGAAGAAAGGCCACCTATCCTATCATTTAAGGAACTTTGCTTTTTAAAATTCAGCTGCCTGCAATTACTGCAAGTTCAAATCTCACCAGGCTCAAGGTTGACTCAGCCTTCCATCCTTTCTAAGGTAGGTAAATTGAGGACCTAGTTTGTGGGGGCCATAAGCTGACTTTGTATAAAATATACAAAAGTATGAAGGCTATTGCTTAACGCATTGTAAGCCGCCCTGAGTCTTCGGAGAAGGGCAGCATATAAATCAAATCAAAAAAAAAAAATTGTCGTCATGTCCTTTGGGATAAGATTAGATCCCAACTCAAATTCAGCCTGAGTGAGAAGTTCTGGGTAATTATTTTAGCAGAGCCACACAGGCGTGAGATCCTATTTTTGCAACTATTATAAAGTCCAGTTCAAAAATTTGGTAGCGAAGGAGAAAAGAGCTGATGTATCTTTTAGCAGGATAGGAAGAGCATTGATGCTGGAGAAGACTCCTGGAGAATAACAAGGACAGCTAAGAAAACAAATGGATTATAGAATAAATCAACACCAGAGGCACAAATGATTGGGCTCAAATCAGGGGTGAAATCCGGCCGGTTCTATTCGGCTCGGGCGAACCTGTAGTCGTGGCTGCAGGAGGCTCCACCCACCCACCTGGACGTCATGACATTGCTTTTTTGCGACATTTTAAGTCTCTGCGCATGCGCAAAAATCTTTGCGCATGCACAGATGACGGCATGCACACATCGGCGAACCAATAGGGAATGTAAGTGAATTTCACCCCTGGCTCCAACTTATCCTATTTTGAATATATTATGCAAAGATTCAGCTCTTTGGAAGAAGCTGGGAAAGGTAGAAGGGGAAGAAGAGAAGAGGACACCCAGCAACAAAGTGGTTGGAATCAGTTATGAATGCACCATTGAGAGACTTGAAAGAACAAGTTAGGGACAGATCACATAATACAGGAAATCCATACATGTAAATGTTGACAGTGAATTGATGACACATAACTAGAATGAATGAATGAACAAACAAATGAATCCAATCAATTAATCAATCAAGGCAATCAATTTCTTTAGAAGAAGACATCTAAGAAATAGCAAGGAGAACCAGTTAGGTCTAAAGTGCTGATTTAGAAGCAGGAGGCAGTGAGTTCTAATCCCACCTTAAACATGAAAACCAGCTGGGTGACTTTGGGCCAGTTGCTCTCTTTCAGCCCAATCCACCTCAAAGAGTATTAAGTATGCTTGCTACCTTGAATTACTTATAAAGCAATAAAGGCAAGATAAAAATCAAATAAATAATAACCAAAGTCGCTCTCAGGGCAGAAGGCACATAAAAGGTTCCCAACCCTTTGCTTCGGGAAGCGGTCCCAATGCAGCAATCGATTGCAAATAAGGGCTGCGTTAAGTTGGTGGAGCATTGCCCTCTGCTGGCTTTGGCAGTGAAAATGGGCCCAACTCGTGAATATCCCCACAATGCTTTTCAGTTTGTTTGCGAGTAGCTTCCTTGTTTTCCACCTACCCACAAACGGGAGGAGGCGGCGGGGAGCGGTCGCTTCGGGCACCAGGACCGGGTTTCGCCGAAACTCAGACCCGGAAGCGGGTGGGGGTGATCGGAGAAAGGTAGGAGATTTGCCCTAATTCGCTTCTTCCCCCTCCCCCCCCCGCTGCTTTTGATTTTAAAATATGCGAGGAGCTAAAATAATCCAGGCGTCCCGAGTCCAGTACTTCCGTATCGGTATTCACACGTGCGTGTGTGAGGGAAGGAGAGAAAGCGAGGAAGAAACGTTAGCTGATAAAAGAGGGAGGGGAAATAAAAAGCATAAGCCCCAGCTCCCGTTATTGAAACTACAGGAGATGTTCAGGGTGTGTGATGGACATTATAGGTCAACTTGCAAATAGTAGCAACACTTTGTGACTCAGGAGTAGAGCAGGACTGGCAAAGTAACTTAAAAAGTTACTTTGGCTCATGCCTTCAGTTTCCAATATTAATATTAATAATATTAATACTAAATATACATATATAATAATAATGTGCCTATCCCAGGTCCTTGGTATGGATTTTAGATAGGCAAAAATGCAAGAAGAAGAAGAAGAAGAAGTAGTAGTAGTAGTAGTAGTAGTAGTAGTAGTAGTAGTAGTTTGGATTTGAGTACAGCAAAAACCACTGGGAATATGAGGTTGAGAAAGTTTTAGAGAATGAGAAACTCAAGATCTTGTGGGACTTTAGGATTCAGACTGACAGGCACTTGGTCCACAACACACCTGACATAACAATAGTTGAAAAGAAAAAAGTATGGTTCATTGACAGTGCAATACCTGGTGATGCACGGATTGAAGATAAGCAGCAAGAAAAAATCACAAAGTACCGGGACTTGCAAATTGAAGTTGAGCGACTGTGGAAAAAGAAATCGTGTGTTGTCCCGATTGTAATTGGAGCCCTTGGAGCAATACCCAAAGGGCTACCCCGCTATTTAGAAATTCTAAATTTACTGGACTTGAACATTTTGACTCTACAAAAAACCACCTTACTCGGAACAGCTTACATCCTCCGACGATACCTTAACAGTTCCTAGGTCCTTGGTTAGGACTCGAGCTGCTGAGCTATTAACCAGCCTCAAAGGCTGTGAATCTCACTAAAGATTAAATAATAATAATAATAATAATAATAATAATAATAATAATAATAATAATAATATTATTTGAATGCTGCCTGATCCTGGATGGCTCATAACAATCAAAGAAAGTGCAATAAAACAAAAGATAGCAAATGAGCTGAAGTACAGGAATGGTGGATGGGTTACTTTAGTCAAAAGTAATTAATTTTGGTTTAGGAATTCGTTGTGTTACCTCAATTCGGGTGTTCCATGTTTTGTTTATCATCTCAGCTACTTAAAAATATACTGATTTCAGTTCTAGGAGTTGAAGCCTGCACATCTTATGCTGAGGTTGAAAAAACATTGGACTAAAGGGAAAACAATGACTATTAAATTACTTTGCGGTGTCTTTATGCCCACAATAAAAAAAAAAGATTGAATTTCATCAAGGTGGTTGAAAAGCTGTGAGGTTCGGACATACTGTACAGATTACAATTAGCAATGGAGGTTAATGCCTTGGTTTCTGAATCTCTGAAAACACTGCATTGTTGAAAAAAGAAGAGTGCCTTGAATTAATGTGTTGGAAGGCTTCAATCTGAGACACTTAACAGGACAGAATAATTCATTGATGTCCATTACTGTAGCATATTCTGTTAGCATCTCCATGGGAAAAGATTGGCACATACCTGACCTTGGATTTTTTGACAGACTTCCTGGTTCATGATTCATCATCGTACTGCCTAGAGCCATTATGTTTGCCCTTAAAGTGAGTTACTCAGCTCAACAATCCCACTCATCTCATAATTTTTTTTTCTGCTATGAACTGTGAAACTGCATGTGATCAACCTTTGTTCTTCTGATTTTAATTCTTTCTCCCATACAGCGATGGATGAATTGGCTGTCTCCTCTGGAAAGGACTTCACTGACCACCCTTCTGACAGTCTTCTGGAACCATCAGAAGATCCTAACTCATCTTTGACTGAAGAATCATCTTCTAATATCAACCCTCCCTGTCGTTTTTTCTTGGAGGGACGCTGCCATTTTGGTGCCCGCTGCCAAAACTATCATCCTGGTGATGTTGGTGAGGTTCACCATTTAAAAGATCCTGAACCTGTCCATGTTCCTTCCTTGCAGCTCACAGAAGGTAAGAAACCTGCCATGAAAACAGCTGAGGATGTCATTTCCCGACTCCTCTGGGATACACAGGTACCTGCTGAACAGTTTTCTATCGGCTACCTTGACCGGTTCTTGGGGATCTTGGAGGAATCTTTTACTTCTTTCTCGTGGGAGGATCTAGCTTCAGTTGGCCCTGGTGTATTGGCTATTCCTAAACATAGGATCCAGTATTTGAAATACAGAGACCGTGTGGTTTGGGACAAAGTCAGTCGCACCGATGAAATTTTTGGGTCCACCGGAAGTGGGAAAACCATCTTAGAAGTGATGAAGGAAGAAGACACCCAAGCTAAGAAGGAACTATCGGGTCTTCCAAATAGCCTCCAAGTTGAAGAAGAGGTAGATAGGGATTCAGCCAAAGAGAAAGAGTTGAACCGGACAAGTAGTGGACAGAAGTTAGTGATGGCTTTAGGGGAAGCGGGGGATAATTTGGAGTTGGTTGAAGACATGTCCATTGACCAAGAAAGAAATGTAGCCAGCAAAGAAAAGGAAAGAGAGACAGTCGGCTCAGTTAAATGTGAAGAATTCAAACATGCTTGTGCTGTCGGAATAGAAAATGAACCTGTGATGGTGAAGAGAGAAAACGTGGATTTGGAAAAGAGGGGTGGGAGGAGCTTCTCCTATCCGAAGGAGCGCCCCACCCATTTCATAGCTATTCCTATCATCAGCCCAGAAATCCGGGAAGCTGTGAAAAATTTCCAGGAGGCTCTATGTGCTATCAGCTCAGATTACGCTCCCTTCTGTGTGCCCAGACCTACATTGCACATTACGCTTTGCCTGTTGCACTTGGATACCCCTGAAGAAATCCACAAAGCGATGATGGCTCTGAAAGAACTTCAGGCTGGTTATCAGCGACTGCTGCCCCCAGTTTTGCTTCTCTCCTTCCGCAACGTGGAGTCTTTTAATTCACGGGTTTTGTACTTGGCACCAGACCCTGTACCCCAACTGGGAGCCCTGGCTCAAAGTCTGGAAGACGCCTTTACTAAAAAGGGCTTGACTGTGATTTGCCCTCCCTCCAAAGGCAAATTTCATTTGACTGTCGTGAAAATTCCTCCTAGGAAGGGAATGCCACAGCTCCCATCAGGTTTGGCTTGGGCTCCTAAGATGGAGGATTTAGGAGTCCAGGCAGTAGAGTCCATAGGTTTGTATGAGGTAGGAAAAGGCAAAAGAACTGATAATGTGTACATCAGCATACTGAAATTGGATTTATATGGAGGAAGTGGAACTTAGTGGGAGATACCTTCCAAATGAACGTTTACTCTTAACTGTGGGCAAGGCTGGGCAACTTGAAACTGTGAACTTCAACTCCCAGAATTCCCCAGCAGCATCTCTTTGGAACACTTTCACTAAACACTAATGGAAAAGTTGATCGAAATGGGGCAGAAAAAACAAGAACAGGAACATTATGATAAGTTATAATTTTTGCCTTGCTTGATTTAAACAGATTAATAATGCGCAATAAAAACATATTTTTACAATCCCTTTTCAGATATTTTTAAAGTGTTTATAGGTATGTTGCATTTTTAGAGACTCCTTTGTATTGATGATAGAAATGAAGGAAAAGGGGACATCTTTTTCTGGAATTGTGTAATTGCTGTCCACAGATGATCCTACGAAAGGACGTTCTGCTCTAAGGGTTGACTGAAATACTGGAATTTTATCTGTATTAAACGAAAGCCCTTTGAGGTTGCAAAGATGGAAGAGAATGTAGAAGAATGTAAAGTCTCTTCTGCTCTGGTTTAGTGTTTCTGATCCACAGTCCCAACAGTCTGTGGTTGAAGGAAAAGGTGCTTTTGCTTTGTTTAGTACAACCAAATGAAATGTTAAAAAAAAATGACCCATCGTAATAAAGGCCTTTTCAATCAAGACAACTATCTCTTGATACATATATTAACATTTGGGCATGCAACATACATCCACCTTCGAATCTGGAATAGTGTTTCCAGGACTTTCATCTCAGACAAGATTCTGGCTTGCCCTGTAGATTAAAAAATTAAGACATAATCCTCTTAATTTATAGTAAGCTTTCTCCGTCTTTGGCTTCGTGCCATGCCTAGAAGCTGCAGTTTGGTGCTGCCATCACCAGAAAAAGCAATGAGGAGCCCTCAACCTCTGGAGAAAAAAAAAGCAAATTTATATTGATATTTAAGAATGACAACAGAAGCTCTGAAATGTGCCAAGACCCTCAGCTGAGAATATTCTATTATGTTCCAGCCATACTTCTTCTGGGGGACCACAGCTTAGGATACTGGGCAGCCACTTTCTACCCACAGGTTACCTACCTCTCTTACATATACTTTGAAGATAATTGCCGCATTTGAGCACTTGTTATATACCTGCTTCTATTAGTAAGACTTCTCCATATCAGAAGATGTACCTTGTCAATCATTCTAATCTATGATATTCTGGAAACCAACCAGTTAACATACCATGGAGCTCATCTTCTCCAATAAGTATAATAATAATAATAAAATTATTTAGTACAATACTAAAGGGTTTTAGCAGAAACTAGCAGAATCAAATTGAACATCTAGCTTCTGTACCTTTACACTTGAAATAATTGCAGAAACACTTCCTTGAGTTATCCATTCCTGCAGCATGAAAAAGTCCTAAATTTCCAAATTTGTTTTACATGAAATTTGTCTGCTAGAAAAAGTAGTCCTGCTGGAACTTGAACATTCCTCTTCCATGAGACAGCCACAGATGAGACTACAAAACCAGCAACACAAATATGTAAACACCTTTACCCCCATTCCCAGTAGCTGAAATGTACAAAGCTGGGGAAAGACAAAACTTGTAATTCAGGTAATTCCTTCATTTATGATGGTTATGGGGTCTGCCCATCATGGTTGGAAGTTGTGATGATTGTGAAACAAGTTAGTCACATAATGAGTTCCCAATCCCTGGTCCGTGGCCCAGTACTACATTTGCGAAAGTACTGCACTCATTTATGAAACCATCCCATTCTCTCCTCAGCTGCCAGTCCGCAGAGCTGGAAAGATTGGCAACCGCTGGGTCACATAACTGACCTGATTTTACAATCTTTTTTGCAGCAGTTGTTAAATGAACCAATGGTTTTATCGAAAACTGGAACCAGATGTCATTTTTTGTTAAACTGAAATGTTGCAAACAGCTATAAATATAGTGCAGCTTCTGACCACCCAAAGTTTAATCATGTGTCCTTGAGGGGCATCTTAATTTCTAATCTGGTCATAAGAAGCTCCCAAGTAGGTTTATCTTAACCTTGGCTGGTTGCTAGGCAACCATTTGTAAGTCAAGGACCACCTGTGTAAGCAAAAATAGACCATTTATTTTATTTATTATTATTATTTATTATTATTTCTATGCCGCCCACTCTCCAAGGACTCTGGGCGGCTTACACCAAAGACAGTATACTAAATAGCATATTGCCCCCAACAATCTGGGTCCTCATTTTACCCACCTCGGAAGGATGGAAGGCTGAGTCAACCTTGAGCTGATGAGATTTGATCTGCTGAACTAGCAGTCAGCTGAAGTAGCTGCAGTACTGCACACCCTAACCACTGCACCACCTCGGCTCACCATGGTCACCCTTTAGAATATTAGATTCACTGCTGCCTCCGACCTCTGCTAGACTTTGAACACCACCACACTGAAGCAGATGACGCTGTTTTAAAAAACTGACTTTTAATCAAATGGAAGAAAATTCAGGTTTCTGAAAAGGAAAAAGGAATCTTTGAAAAATCCAGCCCAAGCCAAAATATCCCAAAATTACACATGTTCAAAAACAAAAAGAAAGAGGTGTTAGAGCAAAGGAGAACAGAGGGAAAGAAAGGATTATGAGAAGCTAAAGAGACTAAGAGTAGGGAAAGAGGGTAAGAGGAAGAAAACAACAGAAAAAATTATTGGACAATCTTTCAAAACTTGAAAAACAAAATTGAAACAATATGACGAGAGAAAAGTGAAAATGGGTGGTGCATTTTCAAGTTTACCTGTAAAGAACTGAGGACAGAAGGAGAAAAAAAATAAATTAAAAAAACTTAGCATGACAACTCCAGAACACAATAGAAGAGGAGACTGTGAAGATCATCTTGTTTGTTGATCTTATTTCACAGCTGCGCACCGTGCTTTCTCTGGATTTGCTTTGTTTGTCGTGGCCACATCCTTGCGGGGTTTTGTTAACGAAGAAGTCTCTCACATTCTCCTTTGCGTAGGAAAAAAGTCTTTGAACTGGTAGGAAATATGTGAAGACAGATTTTGCTTTGCTCTTTCCCCCTCAGGCTGTTTTTGTGTTCCACTGGAGAGGTGGCATCTCTCAAGCTTTTTCATAGCCAGGCCATAGCTCGGAAGAGGAAAAAACTGAGACAGTGTTAGTTTTTGAGGAGCATAATAAAGAACACAAAATGCGCACGCAAAACCTGAATTTTTCATCTTCAGAGGAAACTGTTAAATTCACCATTATAAAAGTAGAAAAACATGGATTTTTTTTCTCTTAAGAAACAAAGAATTTGCCTAGTATTATTTACAACTTGTAGCTTCTGTACAAAACCATATTTCACATATATTCACATCTAGCCAATGCGCTCATGTACCGGTGCCTTTTTCAGATCTGTCAAGTGGAATAAAACAGCGCCTGGTGAGACTTTTACCAAAAAATAATAATTAAAAATAAATTAAGAGGGTTTGCTCTGTGGCTTAGGGAGAAGATCTTCTAGCTTCCTGAATCTTTATGACAATGAAGAGATGGTAACACACAAGACGGCAATTTCCATCATCTCCCATAATTAATCCACAGATTTCCAACTTTTTATCCTGGCAATTTCAGACTACAGGGGAAGAGAGACAGGGGCTCTAGCAATTCATGGATCTTGACATGAGAGGAAGGGAGGGAGGAACAGATGATTGTAAATGGTGCAAAACTATTCTTCCCTGAAATCTCCATTCCCTGTTGCTGGCAAACCCCCAAGACTCCTTAGACCGAACTCTCTGCTCTTCTGCTTCGGTGATCTCAGATGCCATCTGATGTCCGTGGATCTTACCCTCTTCTATCCAAGTGCGTTGTGGATAGCGGGCGAAGTGGCAGAGCAAGTCCCAGCTTGCCCACAGCAGCCAACTGTTATCTGATTTTATATACATATATACACGCACAAACACAGACATATATATCTCTCTATATATGTACATGTTAAAACAGGCTAGAACAGGGCAGTGGGTTTTTTTTTTTTTTCTGCTTTCAGAAATTGGCCAGGACCGCCAAGCTCTGCTTGCAGTCAATCTTGGTGGCGTCGGGACTAGTGTACACAAGGGACAGAGCTGCAAGGAAAGCTTGGCACTCCTCCTCGCTCTCGAAGGCCAGCTCTGACACAACGTAGGAGACCGGAAGCACCGGGCGGAAACTGAGGGAGATAAAAAAAGACACTGGTGAATGGGAAAGGGCAGCAGAGGAGAAACTATGACAAGCAGCACATCCTGCAGGTATGTGGCTCTTTACCTTTAGTTACCCTGGCAATTGGTAGAAACAAAGTCAACCTATCTTTCAAGTTTTTCATTCCAGTATTTCAACTGACCTCAGAATTTCAGCAGGAAGGACATACTTATTGAAGGATGGACCTGCATATAATGTATGCTGCTCGTGGGCTTGCTACAGATATTAGTTGGTCACCAAGGGAAAAGGGCTGGACCAGACAGACTGCTGGTAGAGTTCAGGGGTTTCCTTACGTTGAAAAGGGGAGAAATGGAACTACTCAAAAAGGCTTTGAATATCGCCACCACCACCACCACCACCACCACAAAAATGAGAGATATTGAGTTTAAACTGCCTTCTACCTTTTAACGGAGTGGTTCTGAAACATGGATCAAGGGAAAAAGAAAAAGTACTCCTTAGAGTAACTCAAGATGAACAGATTGGGATGCTTGAGAATGGACGCTGGTATCTTTTTCACACAATCTCTAGTAGAGATCAATTAAAAAAAAAGTAGTTTGGCAAGATTTGTTTTCTTGATATGGTTGCTGATCATGGTGCCAGCGTAATACATACAGTGTGATGTACTGTATGTATTACAGTACATACATACATACGCGTTTTAAAAATAATTTATTAGCCAAACCAAAAGAAAATGCTGTAAGGGGTTAGCCATGACTCTTGCTCATCACTAGAGATCAGACTTGGACTCAGAAAAAGGAAGATGTCTCTTCACAACTATAGGGGCAGGATTATAAAAAATAAATAGAAGTTGTGCCTCCCATTGTAGAGAAATAACCCTGCAACAGAATAACTTTCGATGGCATTCTTGGTGACCAAGACTAATTTTTTGAAAAGAAGGACAGAGTGTGTAGAAGAATACCGTGTTTCCCCGAAAATAAGACATGTCCTGAAAATAAAGCCAAGCTTGATTTTTGGGGTAGGCCTAAATATATGCCCTCCCCCCCAAAATAAGCCCCCCCTCTCTCACACACACCCAGTCCCTCACCCCCCCCCAAGGCAGCCACATCCCTGCAAACTCCTGTGCCCCCCGCCCCTTTTGCCACCTGTGGCACTGACCATAGACCTCAAGTGCCTGCTCCTGTGCCATGGTAGCGGCCCGCCTGCTCTCTCCCCTGCGCCCAGGCGCCGCGTCCACATAGCCGGTGCTACTGAGTGCCCACCACAGCAGCCCCAGCGCAAGCATCACCGCCCCAGGGCTTCCTTTACAGTGCAGCCACCGGTGGCCAAGCTCAGCCAAAGGTGAGGAGTGTTGGCCACGGCTGGGCTGGCCAAGCTGTGTCTGTTGGCGCTACCCTCAGTGCGGCTGCCCGGCATCTTGCTGCTGGGCGCCTGGAAAGAGTAAACTGGACCTGCGGCTTTGCCGCGGGTGCTCCAGTCAGTCAGCGCTCAGGCAATTGGAGCAGAGAGGAGCAGGGATGAAGGGCAGGCCTCAGGCCACCTTCACCATAAAGTGGGAAGCACACTCCCAGAGCAGCCACTGCCCTGGCTGGGGTTTGGAAGCCTCAGAGATAGCGTTTGGGGGAGAGAAAGAAAGACTTCTGCTTCTGCTTTTGGCTGCATGCAAGGAAAGCAGCAGAAGTCTTTCTTTGTCTCCCCCAAACTCTTGTCTCTGGGCTTTCAAACCCCAGCCAGAGCAGTGGCCACTCTGGGAATGTGCTTCCCACTCTATGGTGACGGTGGCCTGAGGCCTCCCTTTCCCCCCTGCTCCTCACTCGCATGGCTTGTTGTTCACGTTCTACACACACCGCGGGAGGGGAGGGGCTTGATGGTGGCGCACGAAGGGGACCTCTCTCTGCCAGACTCCTGGCTGTGAGTGTGCAGCCTGCCCGGGCCTCCTGCACCCCAAAATAATAAGACCCCCCCGATAATAAGGCCAAGCTCTTATTTCGGAGTTCAAAAGAAAATAAGACCCTGTCTTATTTTTGGGGAAACATAGTACTATGTGAGCAACTAACACTTATAATTATTATTTAGAGCAAATTCAATTCTTCCTGCCTCCCTGGTCACTAATTATTCACTACCAGAGACAAGCATACAAAATAACAGATTTTATCTTTTTATCATTTACCAAACATTTTGCTCCTATGTCCTGGCCATTTTTTGCTCCCATGCTACAGTTCTTTTCTGCACCGAAGCTACCTTGATCGAACCACCCAGGGGGAGGGGAGGGCTGGATTGTCTTTACAGCAGGACCAAGCATTTGTACAGCACATCACCTTGCTGTCTCCCTATTTTATCTGCCCAAAATGTGGGAAGGGAAAAGGCCAGAAAGGAGAGCTATGAATGGTGATGGCCTCCTAACTGAAGACTGTGAGAGAACCAGGATGAATATTCAAAGCATAAAATGAAAGAGCAAAGCATAAACCACGAAAACAATCTGGGGCCTACTCTGATTCTTCCCACAACCCCGTAATTTCAGTTTGACTTTGGTTTGTCTAATGGCTTATTTTACTATTTGATTTATATCTCACCTTTATTTCTGAAATTCAAGCCAGCGTGTGCAATGCTCCCGCCTCCTATTTTCCCCCACAAGCACAAACCTGTGAGGGGACGTGGGCTGAGAGACTTTCCAATCACCTGCCATGCCTAAAGGAGGACTAGAACCCACAACCTCCCAGTTTCTAGCTCAGCCCCTAAACCACTTATCGTCAGGTACCCAAATAAAACTGCAACCATTACTCAAATGAACATGACTTCTAGATTCACATTTCAGAGTCCAAGATTTCTGCAAAAGAATTTGTTTTCTATCCAAGTGAATCAACAAAGTTCTAATTAAACATCCTAAACGCTTGCCTAACTAGGCTGCAGTTACCGTACTTACCTGCCCAGGGCATAGATACCTTCCTTGAAGTTGCTGAAAAAGAGTACCCCATCTGACCCACTTCTTACTACTGGACACTATTCTGCCCCCTGCCAGACATTGCAACAAAGGTGGAGCGGGAAAGAAGTGTGCAGGTGTGAGGCATTCCCCTCCCATTTCAACCCGAGGACTGGTTCAGCTCCACATACGTTTTGATCATGGCTTTGAGGGCTGTTTTCCTCTCTCGTTCAGCAAACTTGTCAATGAGGTAGCCAGACATGCAAGGGGCCTGGCGATACAGACAGAAGAAACGGTGGTAATTGGAGAGGGCCCAGGCAGCTCGCAAGGCAAGGGCATGTGCCACACAAGGGTCTGTTTTCAACTCCTTTGTCAGGTATGCCAGCTCAGTTGTGATATCTGCAGGAGGGAGAAAGGCAAGTCACCCCAAAAGTCTCACAAAACAACCCATTTCTCACTTACAGGCATTCCCCAATTTATGACCACTCATTTAGCAACTATTCAAAGTTACGATGGTACTGAAAAGCAAAGCAAATTATGACTAGTCTTTGCACTTATGATCGTTGCAGCATCCCTGTGGTTACATGATCATGACCAGGATGCTTTGCAACTGGCTCTCCTTATGACAGTTGCAGTTGGTCATTCCAGGGTCACATGATCACCATTTGCGACCTTCCCAGTCAGCTTCCAAAAAGAAAAAGTCAATGGGGGAAGCCAGCAGGGAAGGTTGAAAATTGAGATCATGTGATATCTTGCTTAATGATTGCACTGCTTAACAAATAATTTTCCAGTTTCAATTGGGGTTGTAACTCAAGGATCACTAGTACTTTCACCATGAACTGACTTAGGCTAAAATATTTATTCTTCTTTGCTTTAAGAGGTACATCTGATTGGGTTTGGCCTGCTCTATTAAATCCACTTTAGTCTTCACAGTTATCTTCCCCAAAAGCTTTTCTAGAATTGTAAGTCTCCTAAAATGACTGATACCAGTTTTGAGGAAGAGATATGGAATCTTGGAGCATCTGTACAACCGCTTGGGTTATACAGGCAAAGATCACAACATGGTCAAAAGATTTATTAACAAGTGTCTGTCAGAAATTCTTCACAACAGGAAGGATTCTCAGATGTTGAAGTAAATTCAAAGACTAGCCTCAAAAGTCTATCTCCCAACAGCCCCACAACGCACCTCCAGAGTTCTTGGTAAAAATGTAATAGAGAATACGGTAAGCAGTGAATTCTCCAACATTTCCTGGAAGATTCTCTGCATAAAGAGACTTCAACTGTGTCTGGCATTGGTTGAACTCCTCATGATCACCCTGGAAAAGATAAATCATCATTATGGAAAATATTTAAAGTGTCACACACCAGAACCTTTGCTAGAGTATGATAGCAAATTGAGCAAGTCTGAGCTTTCTGGAAAAATATGTTAAACCAGGAAAGATATAAAGAAAAAGGAGGATGATCAGCAGCAAGGACTCAATAATAGTGTCAGGTCCCCATAGATCCGTATTGGGATGCTGCCATTCTGGTGGGAGAAGGGCCGGTGGTATTTTATGATCTTTCCTAGTTCTGGTCTTTACTTTGATGTATCTTCCTGGGAATGGGAGTGATGGTGGTGGGGTAGGTATGAGCCTAGGGCCATCTGTTTTGTTTTGTCTCGGATCCAGAGAGAGGAGTATGTGGCGCCGAGAACAACTTCTTATCTTATCCTCTGAGAACAACTTATCACCTCCTCGGCTTGAAGTTCTCGTCTGAGAACAATTTATCACATCCTCGGCTTGAAGTTCTCACAACAACTTCACACCTGTGGATTGGCTCGCCTAGACTGGACAGAGGGGAGGGGTTTCTACAACTTTTAACCGAATGTTTTCCAACAGTGAATTTGCCTATTCTCCTTGCTATCACTCTCTCTCAATAAAAATTTCTTTTGAAATGCTGCTTGTTTCAAGAGTTCTGCTTTCTTGAGGGGATAGGAGAAGCAGGACTTACAGGCAGCAGTGATAGATATACCATTGCAGGAACTGAAGGATCAGATTGGGGATGGATGACCAATGGAGAAAATCTATCTCTGTGGTCAACTAAGAGCTGATGGTACAGGTAGTCCTCGACTTACAACAATTCATTTAGTGCCCGTTCAAAATTACAATGGCACTGCAAAAAATGACATGGCGGTTTTTCAGTTACAACTGTTGTGGCATTCCCATGCTCACATGATAAAAAATTCAGAGGCTTGGCAACTGATTCATATTTGACAGCTGCAGTGACTTGCATGTGATCACATTTTGTGACTTTTTGATATGGGGAAGCCAGATTCACTTTACGACTATATCACTAACTTAACAATTGCAATGATTCAGTTAACAACTGTGGCAAGAAAGATAATAAAATGGGGCAAAATTCACTTAATGTCTCACCTAAGAGCAATTTTGGGGTCAACTGAGGTCTTAGTTGAGGATTATCTGAATATAATCAACAATTCAATCAAAATCTGAGCTAGACAAATTAGTTCTCTTGTATTGCCCTGTAGTTATGAGTAAAACATGAAAAGATAAGTGTATACTTTTTATGCTCTGCCAAATGTAGAAGGAGCTGCAATCTTTATGTCAAGTTTATCTAATATTACACTATATACCGCCTTGATCCAAGAGGTACACATTCATTATAAAGAAAAATCAAGTATTTTCTACAATCCTTAAAGAATATAAATTGCCCAAATATTTTGGGGGTAGGAAGGTGTACATGGTTTTTTAAAAAAGGTAGGGAGATAAAGTTGTTGAATAGGACTTCCAAGTCATCTCTCTAGTCATTTTTCTGTTTTGGAATCTGTGCAGTAAATTAAAAGTGTATTTTCAAAGTTTGCCCAAGAAAATAGATTTCCTTCTACAACTAAAAACAAAGAGGGAAATGACTCCTCCTAGATCAGATTTACACTGTGTGGAAGTACCACATGACGTAAGATGACTACTTCAATATATTTATCATTACTGGGATTAAATCTATCTCAGCATCTACTTCTGTCCTACTATCACAGCACCATTGAGAGTGTCCTGACATACGGCATTCTTGCATGGTATGGAAGCAGCTCTGTAGCGGACAAAAAAGCTCTACAGAGAATCATTAAAACTGCCCAGAATATCATCGGGCTCCAGCTATCAGCCCTGAATGACATCTTCGAATCTCGCTGTTTGAGGAAGTTGCATTACATTCTCAGAGACTCTTCCCATCTTGCTTACAATCTTTTTGGACTGTTGCCTTCTGGCAGAAGATACAGAACAATTAAAACTCGGACCACACGTTTTCTGAATAGTTTTTATCTCAGAGCTATAATTGCACTCAACAATGAAGGGCCACCATCAGTGAGCTGTTGGACAGCATTACTTGGTCTGTTGAATGGATGTTTGAGTGGTTTAGGGGTGGGGAATTGTTGTGGGTGGGAGTGTGTTGGGGGATTGTTATGTCTGTTGGACCTGGTCTTTGGGTGTTAAGTGAATTTCGTTGTATGGGTATACTGTGTATAGTATAAGCATAAGAAATAAGAAAGAAATATAAATCATTTCAAATTCAAAACAGGGTGTTTCAATTTCAAAATGGTTCAAATGAGAACATTTTGCATGCCACTACATTCTTTCTTCCAAAGTGCACAGGTATATAATATATATGTTAATAAGAAGTCAAATAGGGGAAAGATAGCAATTGATAAAAATGGAGTTAAATCTGGATCCATGGAGCATTATCTTATTAGTAGATTATACTAGGTCTTACCTTCTCCAGAGCTATCCTGGCATGGGTTTCATATACTTCCACAGTGAATTCTGCACGGATTCCTTGAACCTAAACAGAGCCAAGAGAGATTGCCAACAATTAGCTTGGGTGACTTGAAATTTCTACATACAGCAGAAGAAAGGAGTTGGAATAGACATTCACTTAATGACTACCATTATAGAGATGCACTTAATGTCTACTACTATCAATTGTAAAATTGAGTCTGTCACATGGGTGACCCACTTTACAACCATCACGACTTAGGACTTTAATGGGGAGGGCTCCATCACAATTGTAACTGGAGGATTATCTGAAAACCCCTTTGATGATCCCAATTCAGGTGTATATCAAGGCGGACTGTGAATATCTTTTACTTCCAGGGGAGATTCCAACTCCTATTTCTAAAATCTACTTGTTTTTAACCCTTCGCAACAGAAGGCAACAGTTGGAAATGGAATGTAGGTGAATGTAGTAAGTTTTAAGTTAGTGCCCCACTAATGTCATATAGATGATAATCTAATTTACAATGGGCTATATTTAACTAAACTAGCTACCAGATAAAAAACAAGGGATCATTCTAATTTAAAAATACGGTGTTTGTAGCTCATTCTCCTTTCATGGCATTAAACTCACAAATGTCATTAAGCATGTACACATCAAAATTTGCATTCAGCTTCTGAAATCAGCTAGCAATTCAGCAATGTTTAAGTTTTTTTCTATGGCATGAAAAAACTTGAAAACCTCCGGTTTAGAAAATTACTGTCAAGACATTTTCTGATCTTTTTGTTTTTTAAGAGGGGTGGGGAGGGATTGTTCCAGGTTGTCAAATTTTGCTTCTTCTACCAAAGTTTGCTCCAATTATTATATAAAGCTCTGCTCTAATTTAAAAATTCAATTCTTATTCTAAAGTAGCTGAAGTTCCTCTAACTTGTCCACCTACAAAATGACAACTAGCAACCAAATATATTAAGATACATTTTAGTCTAACTATCACAGTACTGGCCAGCATGAAGTGGCTACATGTGACTTAACATGGTTAAGTCTAATCATAGTTAAAATTATAGCTTAGCATGCAAATTGTGAACTGAACCATGACTTTCTGCCCTATCAAGGCCTGAACTGGCTTACTGTAAGGTCCTGGCGGATTGATTTCATCTGCTCGCAAGCATAGGCATAATCTTGCTTCTCTTTCCAGTGGGATTTTACTGCAGATAAAGATTTTTTAAGTACCTGGGAGAAAAGAAGGAAGTGGTTTAAAGATATCTGACAAACATTAAACGACTTCTAAAACAGCTCTGGAATAAAACTGGACATAGCCCAGGAAAAAGAGCCTTCAAAAAAAAAGGACAAACAAAATATTTTGTACAAACAGTCATGAACTACTGATGGAGGAATGATGACCATTGCCAAGACTGCAGGATGGCATAATTGATCTCCTGGATTAGCCTGCACTTTCTGTCCAGGGAATATTCAACATGACTAACAGAATTTATGTTTAACAGTTCTCCACCTCCCCCCTATGAGTGCTTATTGCCTTGAAACCAACCCAGAACTGTATAAAGCAGCGATCCCCCAACATTTCCAACTTTTAGGACCACTGGTGGCAGGGGGAGAGAGGGATTGGTTCCATACAAGCAGTGAGTGAATGTGCATAGCTCCATTTAAGCAAGCAGCAGGGGCCTGCGCTCACCGCTCCCACAAACGGAGTTTCACATGTGTGTGCACTCGCCTGCTGATTACACAAGTGGAATTAAGTGCATGCACACTCGCCTGCCACTTGTGTGGCCCAGCTCCAAGCAGGCCGTAGCCTAGTGCTGCGCCATAGCCTGGGGATTGGGGACCCCTGGAATAAAAGGACAGGTCGAAATAGAAAGCAAAATAGAAGCGAAAACATAGAACGCTCGACTTACAACAGTTGGTTTAGTGATGTTTAAAGTTATGACGACACTGAAAAAAGTGACTTATGATCATTTTTCACACTTATAACCTTAGCGGCATTCCCATGGTCATGTGATTTACATTCAGACACTTGGCGACTGGTTCATATTTATGACAGATGCAGGGTCCCAGAGTCACGTTATCCCCTTTTGTGACTTTCTGACAAGCAAAGTCCATGGGAAAGCCAGATTCCCTTAACAATGGTGTTGCTAATTTAAAACTGCAGTGATTCACTTAACAAATATGACAAGAAAAGTTGTAAAATGGGGCAAAACCCACATAACTAATTTCTCACTTAGCAACAAAAATTTTTGGGTCAATTGTGGTCGTAAGTGGAGGACTACATGTACTACGCAGGCTCTTTTTGCTTTCCCCTTGGTGGTTACTCACAGAGAGAGGCCGGACAGTGGAGGGGTCTGGAGCACAGGTGAGGCGCAGGTAATGCTTTGTGATATCTTGGCAGGTGCCTACAATCTTCAGCTCATTCCAGTCAAGGCCATCAGAGCCAACAGTGTCCAGAGCATTGATCTGTAAGATAAGAGGTTCCAGACGCAACTTTTTGGGATGAGCTCCGTGCTGGAAGCGTGCTGCCCTCCGTTCCTTCTTGAACTCCTTTTCAGGATCTTCATAATCCATAGTGTTGCGTTTTCGATTGCGCTTGGGAGGACCTTGATCATGTCTACATGGATAGAGAGAGAGATGAACTGGATGAGTTACTAAGACCTTTATGTAATCTTCTATGAAATACTTATGAGTGCTACTGCGAACTTTTTTATACCAATTATTGGAATCATAGATCTGTGTGATTATTACTGCTGTAATATCTTTGTTCACTGATTACAATTAAAACACAACATAAGCACTTCAGCGTATGAATGGACGTGGGAAAATGCCACAGGATGTAGAAAAATGAGCAGAAATGGAGTCAAAAAGCTACAAGCAAAAGAACCGTATCAAGAAATGCAACATGCTAGAAAACTGAAAATTTCAACTGAAGTCAAGAAGGTAAGAGGAATTTATGAAGTCTCCAAGAAAATGATTTGTTATCTGCAATCTAAAAAAATGAGACCAGAAATGTATAGAGAAGCTGGAGAAATTCCAAGACAGCTAAGCTAATCAAAATCAGAAATGACTTTTTAAGATCACATGTACAGTATGTAATGCAATAGACTTATATACCTCTCTACAGTGCTTTACAGCACTCTCTGAATGGTTTACAGAATCAGATATTGCCCCCAACAATCTGGGTCCTCATTTTACCGACCTCGGAAGGATGGAAGGCTGAGTCAACCTTGAGCTGGTCAAGATCGGACTCCTGGCTGTGGGCAGAGTCAGCCTCCAATACTGCCTTCTGACCACTGAGCCATCACAGCTGCTCAGAATACATGAATGTAGGGCCAAAGCTGAAACTTCTAAAGAAATCTATGATACCTCAAGGAAAAGACACATCTGCTATACATGTAATCGCACATGTCAGTAGGAAACAATAAAAAAACTGGATTAAATCTGAGCTGGGCTTCACACTTGAACTGTCCAAAATCCCTAATGATCTTGCAGAATAAGATTGGCATGTGCTGAGGACTTTCTGCACAACAGTCCTGGATACAGCACTGCTGCTTGCTGCTTCCTCTGAGGCACAGACAAAGGCTAAACATTTCTTACAATCACTCTTACAAGTTCTATTTCCAATCTCCTATTAGCAACCAGCATTCACACCGAAGGCCCTCTCCCTGTGCAACTTGCCTTTTTCCTCGCTGTGTTCTCATCCGTCCTCTATCCATGTGGCCTCCACGCCCTCGGTTTTTCTGAGCATTCCTGCGGCCACCCAGGCGACACTCATTTCCAGAGTAGGAGCTGTCAGAATCTGAATCGCTATATAAAAATGAAGAAAATATTTACCTTTGACTGTTATGTTAAACTCAAGGTCTGGAGTTGTTGTAATCAGCCCCCAGCCCCCCCCCCCCAAAAAGCTCAATAAAATGAATAGTATTATTGGTGCTGTAAAGGAACAAGTTTCCACTACAGATAGTTTTCAACAACAGTTTGTTTAGTGATCATTTGAAATTACAATGGCACTGCAAAAAGTGAGTTATGACCTTTTCACACGTACGACCACTGCAGCATCCCCATGGTCGCATAATCAAAATTTAGACATTAGGCAACTGACTATTTACAACAGCCGTGTTGTTCCAGAGTCATGAGATCTCCTTTTGCAACTTTCTGACAAGCAAAGTCAATGGGGAAACCAGATCCTCTTCACAACTACTAATTTTAACAACTGCAACAATTTACTTAACAAACGTGGCAAGAAGTCATAAAATGGCACAAAACTCACTTTACAAAATTTTCACTTAGCAATAAATTTTGGGCTCAATTGTGGTCTTAAGTCGAGAACTATTTGTAGTCTTAGTTTGTAACTTTTTTCTTTTTTCTTTAATAGGCATGTCCCTATCAAACAGGTGAAGGATGAGATCCAGCACAAATCCGAAAGTCTGGAAGACTTAACAGTATTTTTAGGAGTATAAGACACCCCCCACCCCCAAAAGTGGATGGAAATATCTGTGCATCTTATAGAGTGAATATTGTGGTGGGGGGAGGGGGTTGGTGCGGTGCCAATGAACTGTTCTGGGCAGCAGGGATTGCCACCGCCTATCGCCACCACCCATTCGGCAGATTTTTTTTTTCTTGTTTTCCTTCTCTAAAGCTAATGTGTGTCTTATAGTCTGAAAAATATGGTAAATCTCTGGTCCTGGTGACCAACTCAGATTGGATCCTGCAAAACTATTCTGGGACACATGTATTTGCCTTCGTTCATCAGGTGGAGTTATAACCACCGTAGCTGTGCACACACATGCAGGGACTGAAGTGATAGCTCCAACATAGAACCATTTGAACTGCAAGATCCAAGATAACTGTTACAAATATATTCTATTCTTTTGGCCTCCGTTGTTTACCTTCTTCGGAAGTGGCGACTCGGAGATCGGGATGATGACCTTGACCTAGAACGTGAATCAACACTTGAGGATGAGCTATTTTCCTTCATGAAAACATTGCGGTTTCCAAATTTGGTGGGGAAGGCATTCCCGCGAATCCGACCAGTCCCAGGTCCTCCGCTACCTCCCCCTCGCTGGGGCTGAGAATTGCCCCCACCACTCCTCTGCTGCTGTTGAGCAAGACTTGACTGCATAGAGGCACGTGGCGGGTGCAGAGAAGACACTTCCCAGCGCTGCTGTTTTTTCTTGGGGCTTTCAGCCGAGTTGTCTCGGCCCAAGCTGTAGAAGGAATAACAGATCTGCTGAATCTTAGGAAAAGGTTTTGTGAATGAGCAAGCTACTCACCATGGCAATTAGATCATCCATTGTATGTGCTCGAAACTCTAAAACACACACCAGGTGAACATATTGTGTGCTAACTCCACTAGATGCAATCAAGTTTACTAGCCTTATTTGCCTCTTAAGGAAAATACATCCTTTAAAAAAAAAAAAAAGAACAGAAATTGGGGGGAGGAGCTGACGTTGCGACGGAACAGACAGAGGATTCCTGGGCTCCAGAATCGCCGCTGAAAGCCCCGCTGCTGGACAGTCCTTCTCGGACCTCACAGTCTTGTTTTGACTGTGATAGTGGAGGGCACATCCTGACGATCCCAGGTACACCGCAAAGTCCCTGGTCGATCCAGGAGAAGCCCATTTTCTAGCAGCGGGGTGGCAGCCATAGTAGCTGCTGAAATTGGGACAGCTCCGGAAGAAGAATAGAAGGACAGTGAGTCAATGCAGTGAGAGACTTTCAATCTAAATAAATGCAAAGAACACCCTGAGATTGAAGTGGGAATTAAATTGGATTTAGAAAGAAATCAAGCGGCGAAATTAAGCAGGAGTCATTTTTTATTCTCAAATTATTAACATTGGTGGAGCTTTAAATTTTTGTTTTGCTTTTGACCGGGATTGGATTGAAAAAGATTGATAGAACTGAGAGTTTAACATCTGTAAGCCGTTGTGCCTTATACTTGAAATATTTTTCCTTTTGGATTGAATTTTTCTTTTTTTTCCTTTTCTGAAGATTGTTTTTCTTTTCTTTTTTTTACTGACAAACTATAATAGTGGGGAAAATAGGAGAGTGTATAATACTGCCATCTGCTGGATTGGAAATTTTGCTATTCTTTTCTATTAAAACAGCAAGTTGAAACAATTATATAACATTGTTGCTATAACCCAAAGACTGAAATTTTTTTTGCTGATAAGATTGTTGGAAGGACATCTGAGAGAGTTTGGAACTATCTGCTTTGTTTATTCAGGTGCTCTTCGGGGAACTATCAGAAATAGGAGTCTGAGGCAAAGGAGAGTGTTAATGCTTGGGCAGAAGTACTGCAGAAGAAACTGAAATTCTCTTTTATTTTTTATTATTTACTCTCTGTACATTTCCCCTGCTTAAATATTTCTGATGGATTTTCTTTTATTTGTTCTTATATAATCGAGTTGAATTAAGATGTACAAGAGCCTGAAGATTGATTTTTGGTTTTTTTCCCCCCTCTAGTTGGCTATTTGGTCTTCTTTTTCATTTTTATTTCTCCTTTTTTAATTTGACTTTCCTTCAGTGTATTTTCATTATCAGTGGATTAATTAAAAAAAAATCTTTTTCCTCTCAAAGTGGATTAGGGTTTTGAAGAATCTAAAGAAGTGTTTATTTTCTCCCCTTCCCTTTTTTTTTCTTTCTACATTTTTTACTCTCTTGGGCTTTTTCTTTTTTGTTCTTGGCCTTTGGCGAATTTTGGATAGAATGAGTAGAAAAGTAGCCACAGTTGGATCTACTTCAACTACTCCTGCCTTGTCGCCATCTGGAGGACAGCGATCAATTCAGACAATGCTTCAGCAAGAGAAGGATAAAGAAAAAGAGAAGGAGAAGGATATGACATTGCAGATGATTTTTCAAACAATTCAGAGGATGGAACAACAACCACTCAAGACAGATGAAAAAGTAGCCAGTACATAGCAAATGATGTTGAAATATGAAGAGAGACTGCAAAAGCTCGAGAAAAATGAGGAGCAAAAAGAGGAAAAAAATAAAGATATAGATAATAGATTGGGAGAAGTTGAACGTGACAGGAGTGGATTAATTGGATGGGAGATGGACAAATCAGAATTTTATCTCAGATTTGGCTTCTGGTGACGTCATTGCAATGGACGGCTGAACAGAGTGAAAGCTCTATATCCAGTTTTCCCTTTTCTACAAACGGCGGCTTTATTTAGCCATCGCAATCCACGGAGAGGTTTGAGAAGGAGAGGGGATACCGAGGCATGTATGGAGGTGGCATCTTCCACACACTGAAGAAACCCCCTGGGGTGCCTTTGTAGGAAGAAGGCGGCAGAACGCCGCTCTGAAGCAGTGATTGATCCTCTTGGAAAGGGAAGCCAATCTGTCACAGTGTAAACTATTGGACTGAGATTGCTGTGCTGAGTGAGTGGGAAAGAAGAGAATGATACTAGCCTCTTTGAACTGTATTGGCCCTTAAGTGAAAGTCAGCGGCTGGAGCGGAGACTGGCCATTTTTGACTTTTGTGACGTGGAGCCAGCTGTTATTTATTTTATTTTATTTTTCTTTTGGAACAGCGGCGACGGAGTGATTGGAGTTAGCCGTAGTTATTTGGGTTTCTGGAAACATTCCCTTTGTGTGTTAAAGATTGGAGACATTTGGTGATTGTTTGGCTGCTTCTTATTTGAGACTCTCTCGAGATTTCTCTGTTTAAAGAGCCCCTGGTGTGTGCCGGACTGAGGGATACATAATGACTTGACATTTTTCCCTTTTGTTTTCTAATCGTTATTGTCGGAGCTACAACTGGAAGAGTTCTTCTTCCACCCTGTGGCTGAAGCTGGTACAGCAGGGAAGAGAAAATCTGAGTCACTGAGAAAAAGAATTAACTGGTTTGTGTTGGAAATAGTTTTTAAGGGCTATAGCCTATGCTGACTTGGAAGAAATTCTGGCGTGACCCAGAAATGTCCACAACGTCTATGGTTACTAAAGTGAATAAGAAGATCCTAGCTTTCCCTGCATCTGCATCTCCAATGGCTTCAACAAGATCTGTTGAAGATATGTCATCGGTTGGAAAGTCTCCCCCTATGCAGGCTCTCCAAGCTATGCTCTAGACCATCCAGGAATCGATGACCAAGAATCAGGAAATGATGTCTAGGAATTTCGAAGATTTAAGGATGTTAAGAGTGAGATGGGAGGAGTCAGAGGAGAGGTTAAACAAATGGGTGAGAAGCTTGGAGAACTGCAACAAGCAATAATTAAACAGGAGGAAAGGATGCGGGAGGTGGAAACAAGGACAGAAAGGTGTGAACAATGGATAGATGGATGGGAAAAAAAACAAGTGATGGCTAACAGGGAGCTTGAAGATGAGATAATCTTTCTTGAGATGGAAAGATCCTCCTTTTTTCTTAGGCTCCAGAACGTGGCAGAAGATAAAGGATAGAGACTGGATGAGATCATGGGGGAGATGGTAGCAGGAGCCCTGGAACTAAACAGAGCCTCAGTACAATGTGATATCAATGAAGTATTCAAGGTGTTCACTAGTTACGCGAAGAGGCACAATCTCCCTCATGAAGTTCATGTGAGTTTTAATAAGAAGGCCCTATGCGAGGAATTTTTCTGATGCACGAGAGACCAGATTATTAATTATAGGGGCACCAAGTGACGATTCTAAAGCAAATTCCGAGACGGGTCAGAGAGCAGAGAAGGAGATACCAATTCCTCACTTTACATTTGAGGAAGAATGCAATCCCCTACTGTTGGCTCCTACCGGAAGGATTGCTGGTGACTTGGTGAGATAGATGAATCAGAATAAGGAACTTGCAGGACGCGAAAGTGTTTTTTGAACAACTTAATATGGCGGATTTGGATATGGAGGAGGAGGTAGAAAGTAGAAGTTTGGAGGAGTCTCAGGAAGAGGATAATATGAGAACTGGTGAAGGTAAAAGTGACAGAAAGAATGGAAAAGAGGACCGAGGAATAGGAGGAACAGCGACGACACAAAGAGAGACAAGACAGACGAAAAAAGCCCAAACAATGGGAAAGTAAGGGCTGACTAGGAGGAAAGGGATGGGAGAAAATGTATGCTTGTTATCGGTAAACATTAATGATTTAAATGCTCCTATTAAAAGAAAAAAGATAATGAATAAATTAAGAAAATGTAAATATGGTATTATTTGTCTACAGGAGACGCATATAAAAAAGTCTCAAGGTAGCTTATTAGAAAATTCTAGATTAGGTAAAAAATTTACTTCCCTAGCTGATCAAAAAAAAAGAAGAGTGGTGATTTATGTGCAACATCATTTGGTGGCTAAGAAAGTATTCGCAGATCAGGAAGATAAGAGTATTAATGGTGGAATTGGAGATTGGTCAGCGGAAGTGTTTATTAGTTTGTATTTATGCCCCCAACTGTAACCAAAGGCCCTTTTATGAAAATTTATAGAACAAATTCGCAGAAATGGAATATGAATATATCTACCTGCTGGGTGATTTCAATGCTGTTATAGATAAGGCCAAAGATTATGTCCCGGGGAAAAGGAAAGGAGGAGGAAGAAATGTGAAGAATATATTTCTAAGGTAGGTAAATTGAGGACCCAGATTGTGGGGGCAATAAGCTGACTTTGTATAAAATATACAAAAGTATGAAGGCTATTGCTTAACGCACTGTAAGCCGCCCTGAGTCTCCGGAGAAGGGCGGCATATAAATCAAATTTAATAATTAATAAATCAAATTTAATAATAATTTAATAATAATAATTTAATAAATATGGAAGGTAAGAGAACAGTGGTGCAAGAATTTTTTACTCAGCTGTATAAAAGGGGTGAAGAAAGGGAACAAGATATTTGGACATATTTAGAGAGCAGAGACTTGCCAAAAATTACTGGGACAATGAAACAATTGCTTAATGCTCATGCCCTGGTTACTTCCCGCTTGGATTACTGCAATTCCCTCAACATGGGCCTGCCCCTGAGATGCACCTGGAGACTCCAGCTGATCCAGAATGCAGCTGCACGGGTTGTTATGGGAGCCCTTCATTACTCCCATATAACACCCCTCCTGCGTGAGCTGCACTGGTTACCAGTGGTTCTCCGGGTCCGCTTCAAGGTGCTAGTCCTCTCCTATAAGGCCCTTCATGACTTAGGTCCGGGATATTTGCATGACCTTCTCCTGCCTGCCTCTCACCGTCCTGTTAGCTCACATAGGGCTGCTCTCCTCAGAGTTCCGACGGCGAGCCAATGTCACCTTGCT